TATGGTGGCGCACGCCTTTAATCCCAGCACTCGGGAGGCAGAGGCAGGTGGATCTCTGTGAGTTCAAGGCCAGCCTGGTCTACATAGTGAGTTCCAGGACAGCTGGGGCTATAGGGAAACCCTGTCTCAAAAACACCAAAAAAAAAAAAAAAAAGTTAATTTTCCTTTTTTTTTTCTAAGAGGCTGGCACTTGTTGCGGTACCTAGGCTGGCCTCAAACCCCTGGACTCAAGCAATTCTCCTACCTCAGCCTCCTAGGTATCTGGGACCACATGGCATCACTGTACCTGGCTTAAAAGTTATTTTTTTGAGGCAGAAGCTCATATATCCCTGGCTGTCCTTAAACTATATAGCTGAGGATGTCCTTGAACCTCTGTACTCCTATTTCCAACTCCCTAGTGCTGGGATTATAGGCATGTGCCTCCATGCCCTATTTATGCAGTGCTGGCATGGAACCCAGGGTTTTGTGTGTGCTAGGCAAGCATTCTACCACCTAGACCACATCTCTAGAAAAAGTTAATTAAAAATTTTTTTTTGCAATTTAAAAGCATCTGGAAGGAAGGAAGGGAGGGAGGGAGGGAAACGAAAGCATGAAAGAAAAAAAAAAAACATCATTCATAAAAGAAAATGGGGGAAAGTGTCAGGAAGGAACTTTCCCACAGGGCAACTGCCACTTCACCTCAGGTGTGCTCATGACATGGTCCTGCTTCCAGGCCTCCCCTGTTATGCCCAGGATGGAAGCTAAGTGTGTCTCTCCAGTTTCCTTGGCCACACTCTTCTTCCCTGCTCCATTTTCTTGCCTCATCCTCCCTCTGGGCTCACAGAGGGGGTTGGGAGGAATGGTGGTGTATGTCTACAAGCTTCTCTCCTTGACAGACTGCATTACTCTTCAAGGCCCTGAGTTCATGTTTCTACCACTAAAATGCCTTTCCAGATTCCTGAGTAGAAAATGGAGACTGGTACTGGTAGCTCACATCTACTAGAACTTGGGAGGCCAAGGCAGGTTTGAGGCCAGCCTGGGCTACATAGTGAGTCCCAGGTAGCACAGGCTACAGTGTAAGACCCTTTTCTCAAAACAACACGAATGACAAAGGAAGTGGTCTCACTCTGACCTGCTGTAATACCTTGATTTGTTTCTCCCTTTTTTTGATCTTTTTGAGATAGGGACTCCCTGTAGCCCCAGCTGGCCTTGAACTCGCTATGTAGACCAGGCTGGCCTCAAACTCACAGAGATCCTCCTGCCTCTGCCTCCTAAGTGCTGGGACCAACCACACCCAGCTGTTTCTTTTTTTTTTTAATTATTATTTTTATTTTATGTGTATGAGTGTATTGCCTGCATGTATGTGAGTGTACCCATGTCGTGCAATGCCTTGGAGGTCAGAAGAGGGCTTTGGATTCTCCTGGAACTGGAGTTAAGGACGGTTCATAGCTGTCATGTGGGTGCTGGGAATCGAACCCGGGTCCTCTGCAAGAGCAGTCAGTGCTCTTAACTGCTGAGCCATCTCTCCAGCTCCTCTCTCCAGCTCCCCCCCCCCAGCTGTTTCTTTATAATTACAGTTACCTGAGTTTTTTTAAAAGTTTGATGGCCAAGCCAGGTGTGGTGGCATACACCTTTAGTCCCAGCACTTGGGAGGAAGAGGCAGGTGAATCTCTGTGAGTTCGAGGCTAGCCTGGTCTACATAGTGAGTTCAAGTCCACCTGGGGCTACAGGGAGACCCCCATCTCAAAAGGACCAAAAAAAAATTTGATGGCCAGAGATATAGCTCAGTGGTATAGCATGTGCTTAGCATGGACAAAGCCTCAAGTTCAGTCCTGACCGAAACAAAACAACAAAAATTATTTGACATATGTAATCTCAGCTCTTGGGAGGCTGAAGCAGGGAAGATCATGAGGTTGAGATCAGCCTGTACTACATAGCAAGACCCCCCCAAAAAAAATTATTTGAAAAAGCAATCCATTTTGGCAGTAGTAAATTTAAGCAACACAAAAAATAATTCCCTCTCATCCCTGCCCGGGGCCCTGGTTCTCTTTAGATTCTCTACCTGTGACAGAGAGGATCCATTTAGACACAGTGTTTACCTTCTACCTTGAAGATTATTGTACAGCAGTATCTGTGTGCATTTTGATTCCAGTTATGTTTGTTTGAGATAGCATCTCAGCCTAGGCTGGCCTCAAGCTCAGGATCACCCTACCTTAGCCTCCTGAGTGCTGGGATGACAGATGTGCACCACCACACCCAGCGTGTTTTCATTATTTGTGTACCTGTTTCTCTTTCTAGAGTGAGGTATAGAGATTTTATCCCTTTGCCTTTTGTCAACTGTGTGTGGCACCAGCCTTTGCCTGGGGCTAGGGACTTGGGCAACAAGTAAGTGAAGAAACAGTGAATGGCAAGCTCATTGGTAATGCCACATATAAGAATCCCCCACACTCTGGGCTCAGGTGGCCAGTGCTTACCCCTCAGAGCTGAACAGTCTCTTTGCCACAGATCCCCCCGCTGGGGAAACACTACTCCCAGCGCTGGGCCCAAGAGGACCTGCTGGAGGAGCAGAAGGATGGGGCTCGAGCAGCAGCTGTGGCTGACAAGAAGAAAGGCCTCATGGGACCACTGACCGAACTGGACACAAAAGGTAGGCCCCTTAGCACCCTGCCCACCCCAAACCAGGATCTGAGTTCCTAGATCTTCAGGCTTCCTGTTATCCTCTTCCTGCCCACTTCAGATGTGGATGCCCTGCTGAAGAAGTCTGAGGCCCAGCACGAGCAGCCAGAAGATGGGTGCCCTTTTGGTGCCCTGACACAGCGCCTCCTGCAGGCCTTGGTGGAGGTGAGCACTCAACTTGAACTGGGAACCACACTCTAGGCATGGTGATGTATACCTATAATCCAGCAGCACTTGGGAGATAGAGGCAAGAGGATCATGAGTTCAAGTACAGCCTGGGCTTTATGAGGTTTTGTCTCAAAAAATTGACACACAGACAGACAGACAGATAGACACACACACACATACACAGTTGCTCTTATTTTCAGGCACTTTTTGTTATTTTGCTTTTTGAGATAGTGTCTCAATATAACCCAAGCTGGCTTTGGAACTCAAGTCTTGAATTTATGGTCAGCCTCTTGCTTCAGCCTCCCAAGTGCTGGGATTACAGGTGTGAGCCATCACACTTGGCTTCCACAGATGTCTTTGCTGAGCTGGGTAAGAGGGATTCCATACATCCTCTCACTGGAGGCAAGGACAGTGGTTAGTTTTGTGTAACATGTGACAAAATTTGAGGCTCAGAAAAGGAAACCTTTTTCTTAAGATCACCAGGCTAATAAAGGTAGCATTCAAACCCTTGCTTAGGGTCTCTATCTTTATCCCAGGGCTGGCCTTTAGAAATACCCTGGAGCCTCAGTTTCCTCTTTGGGCTCAAATACCATAGTTTATTCTCTCCCAAAGAACAGCCTGGGGCATGTGTTCCATCTGGCTAAGGCTGGGTTAGGGAAGTCTGGCCCAACCAGAAGATGGGAGACCCCAGCTTACTGTGGCTCTTTACCCTGACAAGGTCACTCTGGGTGTGGTCATTGCTCCTGGCCACACACCTTGAGCTAGGAGGAGTAAAGCTTTATAGAGGAAGCTTTGTGGGTGTGACTAGCTGTAACTCTTACCTCTTTGGATCACTTTCCTTTGAGAGTTTGTCCCAAGAGCGTACCTGACTGCAGGGGAACTTGGGTAATGTGTAGACCAGCTGCTGTGGAAGAAAAGACACTTACTCAACAGCCTCTGCCACAGACTGCTTTCCTTAGTGCCAGGTGCCTTATAGAGGCTTAACAAACCTTAGCTGTTGCTGTCACTGTGGCTACTTCTTACTATTGTTCTTGTGGTATCAGTACCTTCTACCCTACCCTCTCAAAAAAAGAATTTCCAGAATGATCAAAGCTTTGGAGGAAGGCTTTTCAGGATGGAAAAGATGACAGGCTCTTTCTCTCTAGCCTGTGAAGACTATCCATGCAGGTCAGAGAAGGGCAGCAAAATGGAAATACTGCATCTCTTTCTCCCTCTACTCCATCTCTGGTCTCTTAGGAAAATATTATTTCCCCTATGGAGGACTCTCCTATTCCTGATATGTCTGGGAAGGAATCAGGGGCCGATGGAGCAAGCACCTCTCCCCGAAATCAGAACAAGCCCTTCAGGTGAGTGACATCTCATCTGCATTTGACACTTGACTGTGGGCCTCTGTCTTCTCCCAGCCTGGCATGTCTGGATACAGGCTTAGTCCTGACTTGGTCATCAGGCTTTTCCTGGAGATAACCTGAATGCCCAGCTAAAGGAGATTGGCTGGCTAAACTGTCATAACTCCATATGATGAAATAACTTGCAACTATTAATCATATTAGACAAATATATTTGACATGAAAGAATATAAACAGTTGAGTACGAAATGGAGAAAACAGATGATACTATTTACTTAAAATATATATATATATTTTTTAATTTTTTTGGTCTTTTTGAGACAGGGTCTCCCTGTAGCCCCAGCTGTCCTGGAACTCATTATGTAGACCAGGCTGGCCTTGAACTCACAAAGATCCGCCTGCCTCTGCCTCCCAAGTGCTGGGATTAAAGGCATGCGCCACCACGCCCGGCTAAATATTTTATTTATTTTAATTTTATGCGTATGAGTGTTATGCCTGCATGTAAGTGAGTGCACCCGTGTCGTGCAATGCCCATGGAGGACAGAAGAGGCTGTCAGATCGCCTGGAACTGGAGTTTTGGACAGTTGTTAGCTGCCATGTGGGTGCTGAGATTTGAAACCCAGTCTTCTGCAAGATCAGTTAGTGTTCTTAACCGCTGAGCCATCTCTCCAGCCCTTCAGTATTTTTTTAAATCCTGGAAACTTATAAAAGATTTCAACTACTAAGCTAGGTGTGGTGGCACACATCTTTAGTCCCAGCACTCTAGACACAGAGGCAGGCGGATCTCCATGAGTTCAAGGCCAGCCTGGTCTACACAGAGAGTTCCAGGCCAGCTGGGGCTACAGAGAGACCCTGTCTCAAAAACAAACAAAAAAAACATTGCAACTAACACACAGCAAAGACTGGAACATATGTAGATATAGAGGGGGTTCACAGAGTGAAAGGAAAGTGTTCACTAACCATGGGAAGCTCCAAGAACCTTTCAGGTGGCCCCTCCCAGCTGGCCCTCAAGCTAAGGGATGTGAGGGATGTTCTCAGAGTTAAGGTGCCAGCCTTTGCTTCACAGTGTACCACATACCAAGTCCCTAGAGAGCCGTATCAAGGAGGAGCTGATTGCCCAAGGCCTCCTGGAGTCTGAGGACCGGCCTGCTGAGGACTCAGAGGATGAGGTCCTTGCCGAGTTACGCAAACGGCAGGCTGAGCTTAAGGCACTCAGTGCACACAACCGCACCAAGAAGCATGACCTGCTGAGGTAAGCGTGTACAAGAGGTGCTAGTCAGGGGCTGGCCACTTTGGTCATCTCCCAGGGGCACAGACAGACTTCTCAAACCTGGCAGGTCCTGAGAGCTTTGAACAAGTACAAATGCCAGGTGCCAGCCTCTCGGTTGTGTCTTGGATGCTAAGTCCAGAGGCAAGACCCCACCCAGCACCCACAATTGACATATGGATTGATTTGAATCTTTTATTTTTTAAATGTGTATGACTGTTTTGCTTGCATTGTGTAAGTGCACCATGTATGTGCAATACTCTGCAGAGGCCAGAAGAGTATGTCAGATCTCCTGGAACTGGAGTTTACAGACAGTTGTTAACCTCCATGTGGATGCTGGGAATCAAACCTGGGTCCTCTGGAAGAACAGCAAGTGTTCTTAACCGCTGAGTCATCTCTCCAGCCCCGATTCTGTTTTTAGATTTTAATTATGTGTATGTTGTGTGTGTGTCTGTGTAAGGATATGTGTGTGTGAGTGCAGGTGCCTATGGAGGCCAGAAGAGGGCATCAGATCCAGAGCTGGAGTACAGGGGGCTGTGACTGTAAAGAGGCTCAGTCTGGAGGAGGGAAGAGATAACTCTGGAGATGGGGTGACCATGACACCCGGCCTGCTCATCCCCACAGGTTGGCAAAGGAGGAGGTGAGCCGGCAGGAGCTGAGGCAGCGGGTCCGCATGGCAGATAATGAGGTCATGGATGCCTTTCGCAAGATCATGGCTGCTCGGCAGAAGAAGCGCACCCCCACTAAGAAGGAAAAGGACCAGGCCTGGAAGACCCTGAAGGAGCGGGAGAGCATCCTGAAGCTGCTGGATGGGTAGCCCTCACCTTGCTGCTGGCTAGCTCCTGGCCTTGGCAGAAGCCCACTTTCTTTGAATCCTCTGCCCAGGACTGTCCATCAAATGACAACAGTCCGGGGGGCTAAGTACCTCTCAGGCCTCTCCGCCAAGCTCTGTGCAGCTAGCACGTGATGCCCTACTGTGCTGCCCTGGACCTAGCCCCTGCCTGGTGCCCTAGATAAAAGGGCTTTGTACCTGGGTCTTCCTCTTTTCCCTCTTTATCCCCCACACCACCTGCCTCTCCCTGCTCAAGGACTCCTCCCTTGTGGTTTTGTAATGTGCAAATTTAAGAATAAAGTGACTGCTGTTTGTTTTTTTTTTTTTTTAAGGAAAAAGAAAACCACCAGAGGTTTGAATGTCTGTCACTTATAGGTTGGAAGTAACTAGGGTAGGTGGAAGGGATTTGAGAGGGCATACTTCATGGCTTTCAGCCTGTGGCCACTCAGCAATGGCATTCCTTTAGGGAATGCTTTCTGAGCACCTCTTTTGGAGGGCACTTGTGACTGCATGTCACGTGGTAGGGAGAAGGGCCTTGGGATTCCTGGAGGAGGACTGCCTTCAGGACTAACCAACCTAGAACTCCACAGGGCCACCAAGGACCCCGTTCTTCAGGTATCTCCACACTGCCATCCATAGTCCCAGCTTCTACTGAGGTGTTTCTCCTACAGCTGTGGGCAGGCAGGAGCAGTGAAGGCAAACGGGTTCCTTATTTATGTCTAGACTGGAGAAAGCTAGAGCCCGGTGGCTTTGTGGCCCAAAAAATCACCCAACCCTGTCCCAGTTGTTCCTGTCTCTGTGGTCCAAACAGGCTCATAGTAGGCCCATTCCTGAAACAACCTCTAGGGTAAATGGTGACTCAAATGGGTTCCTTGTGTTTTGAGACAGGATTCCTGGGTGACTCTAAATTTGTGGCAGTCCTCCTGCCTCTGCCTGGCAAGTGCTGGGATTATAGTCCTGAGCCACACACTCTACTGAGTTTTAGCTCTGTTGCCCTACAAAGTTTGCCCCATGAAGTTCTATCCACAGAGAGGGAAGAACCCAGGGTAGGCCAGCAACAGCGTGCTACAGCCTGGCCTGAAAGATGGGCCTGAGGAATGAATGTACTCACGTCTCTGTTCAAATTCTTCCAGGACTGTTTGCTTGTTTGTTTGAAACAGGGTCTTCCTGTAGCCCCTGCTGACATGGAAAACTCACTATGTTGACTTGGCTGGCCTTGATCTCACAGAGGTCTACCTGCCTCTGCCTCCTGAGTGCTGGGAATAAAGGCTTGTACCACCACTCCTGGTCCCAGACTACTTTTAGAGCCAGAGAATAGTTGGCAATTTACTATGGTAAAGTTGAGGTCCACACAGCAAAGGAGAGGAGACAGTGTCCTAAGAAAATGACCTATGAACTGAAGCACAAAGAGGGACAATGCTGTTTGAGGTGGCAAGAGCCAATATATAATCCCAGTACTCAGCCAGGCATGGTGGCACATGCCTTTAGTCCCAGCACTTGGGAGTCAAAGGCAGGCAGATCTCTGTGAGTTCAAGGCCAGCCTGGTCTACACAGCAAGTACCAGGCCAGCTGGGGCTACAGGGAGACCCTGTCTCAAAAAGACCCAAGAAATAGGGGCTAGAGAGATGGCTCAGTGGTTAAGAACAGTGACTGTTCTTGAAGAAGACCGGGGTTTGAATCCCAGCGCTCGCATGGCAGCTAGCGACTGTCCATAACTCCAGTTTCAGGGGATCCGACAGCCTCTTCGGTCCTTCATGGGCATTGCGTGACATGGGTGCACTTACATGTAGGCATAACACTCATACACATAAAATGAAAATAAAATATTAAAAAAATAAAGACGAAGAAAAAAAAAAATCCTAGCACTCAGGAGGTGGGGATAGAAAGAGGACATCAGCCTGGTCTACATAGTGAGTTCCAGGACAGGTGGGGCTACAAGGAGACCTTCTCTCAAAAAGAAAAAAAAAAGAGGACTTCAGTTAGAGGCCAGCCTAGGTTATATAGCCAGATCCTGTTTTAAAAAAAAAGGTAAACTGTCGGGCGTGGTGGCCAGTGCCTTTAATCCCAGCACTTGGGAGGTAGAGGCAGGCAGATCTCAGTGAGTTCAAGGCCAACGTGGTATACATGGTGAGTTCCAGGACAGCTGGGGCTACAGGGAGACCCTGTCTCAAAAAGACCAAAAAAAAAAAAAAGGTAAACTGAGGGGTTGGAGAGATGGCTCAGTGGTTAAGAGCACTGACTGCTCTTGCAGAGGACCCAGGTTTGATTCCCAGCACCCACATGGCAGCTATGAATTGTCCTAAATTCCAGTTCCAGGGGAATCTGAAGCCCTCTTCTGACCTCCATGGCATTGCATGACATGGGTGCACTCATATACATGCAGGCAATACACTCATACACATAAAAATAAAAAAAATTTTTTTGGCCTTTTAGAGATAGGGTCTTCCTGTAGCCCCAGCTGTCCTGGAACTCACTACGTAGACCAGGCTGGCTTTGAACTCACAGAGATCTGCCTGCCTCTGCCTCCCAAGTGGTGGGATCAGTCGGTAGAGCATGAGACTCTTAATCTCAGGGTTGTGGGTTTGAGCCCTACATTGGGTGCCAGCTGTAGGTCTCTCCCTCCCCTCGTGGGTCGTTGGCCACCAATTCCACAAGGATAAAGGGAGCAGAAGCGACAATCAGGTTTAGGACGGCCAGTGAGCACAACAGAAAAAGACTTTGCAGGGAGGCAGATTCAGTGATACAGCTCCGTTTATTCATTGGGGGTCAGGGAAAAAATACAGTGTGGAGGCAGCAGCCAAAGCTTCAGCTGATAGGTGCTCATAGTATGCTTTATTTACATGTGTGGTAGGGGGATCCTATCATCCGACTATAGGGCAATGCCTAATTATCATATAGAAAAAACCTGGGGGTAGTTTTATTGCAGGTAACTATGCCAAAGGTCATGTACCAAATAAGGTCAGGCATCCGTGCTTGGCGGCACTTTCCAGGTAAGTCAGGCAGAGAGCAGGAGGCTCCCCAGCTGAGAAAAGGAGTCCTTCCATATAGCGCTGAGCCCATTAGAGCTATTCGGATGTGGAGGACTACAACCTTAGCAGCAGGGTCCCCCAACACACCACCACGCCCGGCCAAAATAAAATAGATTTTGAAAATTCTTTGAAAAAAAAAAAAAAAAGGTAAATTGGGCATAGTGGTGCATACCTTTAATCCCAGCACTCAGGAGACAGAGGTAGGGCATCTCTGTGAATTTGAAGCCAACTTTGGCTACCTAGTGAGTTCCAGGCCAGCCAGGGCTTACATAGTGAGACCGTGTCAGAAATAAAAAAAAAAAAAAGGTAGAAGGCTGACATCTCTCTGTTAGATACATATACCCTCCCATCCAGTGTGGCATTTGTGTGATGTCAAACCAAACTATGGTGGATATATGCCCTTGTCATAGAAAATCATAGGACCCCATCCCTGTAGCTACAGTGACTGGTCCAGGGAACTGGTATGTAACTCAACCTGGGTCACTCAGAGGCCTTCCTTAAGACTGTGCCATGGAATCAGGCACGGTGGTATGTGCCTAGAATCCTAGCACACAGAAGGTGGAGGCAAGAAGTTCAGGCGTTCAAAGACAGCCTCAGCTATACAGCAAGTTCAAAACAAACAAAAACCAAAAGGCACAATTGGAGCTGAGCATAGTGATGTACAACCGTAACCCTAGCACTCCAGAGGTAGAGGTAGGAAGAGCAGGAATTCAAGGTCATCCCTGGCTGTATATTTATTTTGAGGCCAGTATAGTCCACATGAGACCCCATTTTAAGCAACAATAGAAAAGGAAGGGTAGAGGAGAAAAGGGGAAGAAAAAGGAAAGGAAGGAGGGAGGGACAAAAAGAGGAAAGAAAGATTACCCAATGACCACTTTCCTACCCTGTGAGAGAATGTGAGGAGGCTACCTCTGAGAAGCAGAACCAGGAGATGGAGAAGAAAGCACAGTCCTACTAATGTAGCTGAAGGCCTGAATCCAGACACACCTGAAGCACCAGATCTCCCCATAGGCTTCCCAATTACATTAGCCCACAAATGCTTCTCTTAGCTTAAGCTAAGTTGCTATGGAGTTTTGCCATTTGTAAATAAAAATGCCCTGACTAATAAAAGTGGATTTAGGTTGGGGCTGGAGAGATGGCTCAGCGGTTAAGAACATTGGTTGTTCTTGCAGAAGACCCGGGTTTGAATCCCAGCACCCACATGGCAGCTAACAACTGTCCGTAACTCCAGTCCCAGGAGATCCAACAGCCTCTTCTGACCTCCTTCTGCACTACATGACACAGGTGCACTTACCTACATGCGGGCAATACGTGCATACACAAAAAATATATTCATATATATATTATATATATATATATGTGGATTTAGGTAAATAGAAAGATGAAGGTCCAGAGTAAAGGCATGAGGCTCTGCCTGCCACAAGGTGCAGGGACGTGCAGTGACTCTCTGTCTGTAGGCAGCTCATATCCACCCACACAAGATGCACCAAGTAGCAATAACAATAATGATGAAATTAAGTGCTCAGTAAATATTAGCTGGATACCAGCTACTGTTTTCATCTTGTTTGACCACCTAGTCTCTATTATCCCATACTACTAAAAACATCTCATTCATAGATGAGGAAACTGAGGCTTGGAGATTACATATCTTGCTTGGTCAACCAGTCAAGTGGCTGAGCCAGGAGTTAAACTCCTAGGCACTTGACTTAGAGGTAGAGTTTCTTCATTATACAACTTAATGGACCCCTGTCCCATTACTGTCTACATGAATACTATTTCCTGGCCTTGGGCAGAGCCCAGCTTATGCTGTCATACATGGTAGCTCTGCTTACAGATCCCTTATTCTCGACACTTTCATATTCATTAGGCCAGTCCATAAGGATGGTAGGTGGCATGCATAGAGAGTCCCAAGAAGAGACAGTTTTGTGGAGGAGGTAGGATCCAAGGTCCCCAAATCGGGTAGAACTTGTGAAAGGCAGAAGACACTGGAAATAGCATGCTAGAAGACTGACAGGTCTGGGCCTTTCACTTTCAAGGAGCACTTGTGGGAGCTTGTGATTCTCTAATGAAGCCAGATGGGTGTGGGACCCTCTACCCAAAGGTACTATTCTATACCCACTGCCTACTAACAAGTAAGTAGTGACGTTCTAGCCTTCAGAGAACACTGAGGCTCACAGAGATGTGGTGCCTTTGTGTAGGCAGTTACAGTCCCCAGGCAGCACACACACACACACACACACACACACAATTCTTTTGTTGTTTTATTTTATTTTTAATTATGTGTATATAGGGGCAT